AGTTAATTGACTAAGGGTGCAAAACTGTGCACACTTTCCTGGGAGTAAGCGTCACGGAACGGTCTTCTGAGCAAAATTGTGCAATATTGTTATTCGTGTATTATGTTTCTCTACCACCTTTCTTTCAGTATTTAGGGACTCACAGGCTGTCTCCCATGCAAAGATTGGCCAGCTGCAGACCTGATTCATTCAGACTGATTAACTTCACCTCCTGCACCCACTATAAAGAAAGTTCTACCGAAGTCTGTGGGATGAATTTCCCCTTCAGTGAGCGAAGAACAGCAGCATTGACTTTTCTGCTCTGCTTCCTCAATGGTGAGGGAAATGTACTCTGTGTATACTCAGAGGCATTTTAAAAATGATTTCAAGGTTCCAGGCTCTTGGCGCTGGTTGCAGGCTTGTAGGAAGGATGCAATGAAATGGGAACGTATAGGAAATTGAAATGTAGGAGGATGCTACCACATCAGCTCCCTTTCCCAGACCTGCCTGGAGATACCAGAACCTTAATCTAGGTGTGGATATGAATTTCATTCCACTCATTTTTAACACCAAGGGCTTACGAAAATTGACAAATTTCTTCATAAATGGAATAGAAATAACTTGAGATTAAAAAGAAATGAATGTGATAGAAAGCAAAACTGAGAGATTCATTCAACCAAGCAAAGGTCATTGAGTTCTTAGCTCTTCATCTCTAGGTCGGAATCCTTGTCTTTAAGGCTGCTTGTGTGCAGAGTTAAGGCTGTCACCTCTTTTCTTCTGGTGGCCTTTAACTGCTACCAAGGCATGTTGGTATTCAAGAGGGCTCACCATGCTAGAACAGCTGCACCTATTGAATTAGCTGCTGCAAATGCGTGAGAATTTCCCTTAGTTGCTGTTTTTCAGTAGGAACTTGGTAAAGTTTGCATATTTTTTCTTAAGCTAACTGGAAATCTGAACAATTTCATTGTAGTACGCACTTGGCCATCGGTAACTTTGGCATGTTGTTACTGTTGGACACAGAGGAACTCTTTTAAAGAAGGAGACTCTACCATGGGAAGTGAGTAGGTGGGAGCTCACCAAGCTGTTTGTGCTTCTTCTTTCTCTCCAAGAGGCCTGCTCTGTTTTTCTAAAAAATTCCTAAAGGCATGTACAGAATTCCAAACAAAAAGCAAAGAGCAACAACTAAATCAGAACAGACATGCCAAATACAAAAGCATCTTTTTGGGTTACTTCTTGTGTTTCTATGTTCCATTTCTCAATCACTCAATAGCCAAAGCTCTCTGGGCAATTCACAAGAGTTTATGCAAATCCATAAAGGACAGAAATGGAAACACAATAAAAGTGCATGCAATTTCAATGCAAAATTGAGAACGGTGTTAATTTAAGGCCATTTGCTCACATGAGCTACGGAACCATGTGTGAGCGTCTCTCCCCAGAAGCCTTGGCTCCCCACCTTGCTCCTGAGGTTTCTGGGGGTGATGAGCAGGTGCCTTTGCTCACCTGGGATGCAACAGCACCTCTCCCCTCACAGCACCGCATTGCAAACATGTACCGTTCATGCGGTCGGACTGCCAATGAAATGACCAGAGACCTGTGGGAAGCAAACAATGGGGAAACGGATGGAGAAAGTTTCACCCTCTTCATTTCCGTATGTCAGGTTACTGTGGAAGGCATAGGAGCAGAGCCGACTGATAACCTTATCCCCAAATTCTAATTTCTTGTGGATTAAGCTTCCTCCAAATATCAGTACTCACACAAGCACACAAAAAGTTCAAATCTCTTTGGAACACTTTGAACCTGGAAAGAGGGTCATTCCGGAGGGTGCACCACAAACACGGAATGGCACCCCAAATCTAACAGTCCTGGCAGGATGACTTCGCAGAGCCAAGGAAGTGAAGAAGTGCAAGAAGACTTCTTTCGGAAAATGGGTCAGCAAGTTTTCAAAATGTTAAGCATGTCAGTGGGAGGAAAGTTGCCATGGAGGTGATTGGGCTGTTGGATGACACAGGAGTGGAAGATGCTCTAAATGAGGACGGAGAATGCAGAGATGCTGATGGGATTCGTTGTATCTTCTCTTCTTCAAAATGCCAATAACTGAGCTGCCTTTCCAGGTAAGGAGATCTGAGGAGGTGAGATGCTGAGCAGCAACGAGAGATGGAGCTCTCATTCTCATCAGCAAATTAAAAATAATGGAGCACTGAGTCCTGGTAGCATCCACCAGAGAATCCTTGAAGAACTCATCTGTGAAACAGCTGGTTTTCCTATAGAATTGTGTGGCTGATTTCTGTAGCAGCAGACTGAAAGACAGTCAACGTAATGCTAACATTTTCCAAAAGGATCCAGGTTGCATCTGGGAAAGTGCGGGCCAGTTAGCTTCATGTCTGTTCTAGATGAATTGGTGGGATACCTTTTCAGGCATATAGAATGAGTCTTGCTAAAGAAGAATCAGCACGGCTTCTGCAAAGATAAATTCCTGCCTCGCTAAACCTTTAGAAGTCTTCAAGTAACAAGCAAGCAGAAAATGCATCCGGAAGACATTGTTTGCTTGAAGTTTTAAAAGGATTTTGAGAAAGACCCACCTCAAAGTAAATGGGATGGTGTAACTTAGTGTCACTTAGTGTAACTCAAGAAAACTAAGATCATGACATCCGGTCCTATCACTTCCTGGCAAATAGATGGGAAAGAAATGGAGGTAGTGACAGATTTTATTTTAATGGACTCCAAGAGCACTGCAGACGGGGACTGCAGCCAAGAAATTAAAAGATGCTTGGTCCTTGGGAGGAAAGCTATGGCCAATTTAGACAGCATACTAAAAGCAGAGACATCACCCTGCCAACAAAAGTGCATCTAGTTAAGGCTATGGTTTTTCCAGTTGCAATGTATGCCTGTGAAAGTTGGAAGGTTGAGCGCCGAAGAATTGAGGCCTTTGAATTGTGGTGCTGGAGGATACTCCTGAGAGTCCCTTGGACTGCAAGGAGATCAAACTGGTCAGTCGTAGAGATCAACCCTGACTGCTCTTTAGAAGGCCAGATACTGAGGATGAAACTCAAATACTTTGGCCACTTAATGAGAAGGAAGGACTCACTGGAGAAGAGCCTAATGCTGGGAAAATTGACTGGAAAAGAAGAAGGGGATGGCAGAGAATGAGGTGGCTGGATGGAGTCACTGAAGCAGTTGGTATGAGCTTAGGTGGACTCGGGGGATGGTGGAGGACAGGAAGGCCTGGAGGAATGTTTTCCATGGGGTCATGATGGGTTGGAAATGACTTCGCAACTAACAACAACAACTTAGTGTCCTGTGATAGTAGGGTTTAGACCTGATGGCCTTCTGGCCCTTTCCAACTCTGTGGTTCCATGATCCCATGATTCTGATTCTATGATTTTATGGAAGAGTCCTGAATAGCAGAAGTCTTGAGATGGGAGGACAGGACTTCCTGTGGATCAGTGGTTAAAGAACAGGAAACAGAGAATAGGAACAAATTGACTGTTCCTGCAGTGAAACAGGATGGATTTCCAAAGGATTTGTACTGGGACTGGTGCTTTTTAACTTGTTCATAAATTATTTGGCGTTCAGAGTAGATTGTGACATGGTTGAGTTTACAGAATCTCTCAAACATTGGTACAAAATCAGTGGGTGGGCAATAAAATGGGATAGCAAATATGGCTGAATGTAAGGTAGTATGAACAGATGAGCATGGGGTGGGGGTCCAAACTTCATGTGTGGGCAGAGGGAGTTTGAGCTGAAGGAGAACAGGCTGCAGAAGAGGACTTGGGCTGGTGCTGAACAGTTCTGAGAAAAAATCAACACAGTGTGCAGCTGTTGTGAAATGTGAAAATGGAAAATACCATGGTTGGGAGAGGTTTCGAAACCTCCATGAAGCCCTTACAGAAATCTAGGGTTTAATTTCACTTGGAATGTGGCATACAGTTCTGGTCACAGCCTGCAGACTGTACTGAAACTGCCTTGGTTGTTCCCCTTCTCACCATTTCTGCTTCTTAAAGTGGCGTTTTGATTAAAGGATAACTAGCCCATGCTATGACCCCCATCTTCCCTTGTAGGAAATGTTATATATTTTAACATGCACAAACAAACTCGAAAGAAGTGGGTCCGTTTTGTCCAATGAGGCATGAAGAGCTTACAGGTGCTTCCTCTCAGTTTCTGACAGAGTGAGTCCCCGGGGAGTTCAGATTCTGGTAAAGGAGCTGAAGAAAGAAAGAAACACAAGCACCAGCCACCCTCAGTTCTCTTTTGAAATGGTCGAGCATCACAGGCCAAGTTCTTCTTCTGGTGCAAATATAGAGAACCAGGGCAAATTATCTGAGCAGAGAGTCGTGGCATTGGAGGAAATGGCTGTCTTCACATGAAGCAGATTAGTGGTCTCGTCTGGCTGGCAGCCACTCTCCCAGGACCGGAGATGCTGGGGCTGCATGCAGAGTGCCGTTGAACTGTGGCTTATCCTCAGTTGGTCTGTAGCCCTCAGTAGAATGGGAGTCATGGTTCTAACAACACATTTCATGGCCTTTCCAGCAAGGGATCCCATAAAAGGAGCCTTGGGAAGTGAGCACTGGGGTCCATCAAGGGAGCCTTGGGAAGTGAATGCTGGGGTCCATCAAGGGAGCCTTGGGAAGGGAGCACTGGGGTCCATCAAGGGAGCCTTGGGAAATGAATCTGAGCAAAGCCCCATGGTTTCTTTCTTGAGCCTTAAATATGTGGAGACTTCTAAAATTATCGTTGTTGTCGGTTCTGTCTCGGTGTGTATGCTTGCAAAAGTGACAACGCTCAGTCAAGCATGCGCACCGTGCCTAGCATCTTCCACACTGCAGTAGCCTTGAAGGAACAGGCTGTTGTGGTGAAGTGCAACATAAAGCAAAAGGGAGGGAAAAATTTGAAGTGCTTGTGGTTAGAGGATGTGACAACGTCACACTCTTCAGCAGGAACCTGGTCTTTAAAAAAAGCTGAGAGGAACATCTTGACAGCCCTGTTATCACATAAAGGCGCAAACAGCAACCCAAAATTCAAAGAGAGGAACAAAGGAGTCCATCCTGCACCAGAATATGCACTGGCAAAAATGTGAGTTCTGAACTTCTCTTCTTCTTTTACATAACAAGAGCAAACAGAGGAATGTCATTGGAGCCACATTATTAATGGAGTGCAAACCAGCTAGTATTCTTTTTCCATTTTCTGAAGTTCTTTTCAGTTTTTACCGTACCTGACCCACGGTGGAGAGGGCATTGTTATTAACATTTTACAGATGAAGAAACTGAGGCTGGGGAGTCATGGCTTGCTAAGGGCATGCAGGGGGTTTGCAGAGTTCAGCTCTCCACAGCATCAAGAAAGAGGTGCCGGGGCTTAGACAAGCAGGACACCTTGCTTCTTGGTCTGAAGCCCATACACCTAACAGTTCCTTCAAGACAGGGGTAATGTGAGTAGCATCTCCTGGAGACATTCCTGTCCTTGGATGTTGGCTGGGAACAAAAATACGGAGCTAGCTGCCTATCTTCAGCCTGTCTTCTCACTCTGTCAATGCTCATTTTGGAGCTGCCAGATTTGCTCCTTTCAGTTCATTGAAGCAGCCCAAGCCTTTAGAAAAGACCTTTTGCAGGGCTCTAGGAGTGAGTTCTACCCCGTCAATAATTTTGGCACATCTATAGAACCTGCGGCATCCTGGACCCCACTGGCATCCACTGGGAAAGTGGCCCTGGTGTCGTACTCTTAGGGAGCAATCCCATGGCTCCCAGAAGGGGCCATAGGATTTGTTGGGTTACCAGTGTCAAGCCCTGAAACAGAGCTACAACCTCAGAGCTGGGAGTTGGAGCTCTGACCCTTCCCGCTTCCCACTGCAACCGGCAAAGAAAGGATTGTGCAGGCTGCTTCTCCACGGTCAGGAGCAGGACCTCAGAGAGACAGCAAAAAGTGGGGTTTGGTGACTGGGGAGGAGAGGAGACCGGAGAAGGAGGAATGGGGGCTGCACTGAGGCCTCTCCTCCCTCCCCGTCCCCCCTGAAAAGCTCCAACAAGGAGCAAAGCAAGGCAAAAATGCAGGGAAGCAGGATGGGGTGGCAAAAGTCCCCCGCCCTGCATAAAATGAGCATAATCCTACAAGTTTGTGGGCTGATGATAATCCCCAGCGAATAATGCCCTAAAATCAAAATTTGGAAGCGTCCGAGTGCTGCGCTTGTACACAAAGGCTACGAGAGGCCCGGCACCAAACTTTACTGAGCAATTCAGGTTTTCTGCCAACCTGGCATATATTTTCCCCCGATAGTCATTTCTTCCTCCCCCTGGCTTTCCATTCCCACAACAGTCAGCAAGCTCAAGACTCATTAGTTCATCATCATCACCACCATCACCATCACCATCATCATCATCATCAGTTTCATTTCTACACTGCTCCATAGCCAAAGTTTTCTGGGCTGCTTCTTGCTCCAGATATATCACTCCCACTTAAATATGTCTATATGTATGCATGTATTTAATTTATATGCTACCCAATTAACCATAAGCTGTCTGGGCAGATTACATTCCAACAAGGCCACGGCATAATGAAATCAGCAAATACAATAAAACCAATAATAGCAATCAATGATCATTTTGTTTGTTCTTCTCCTAACCTTTGGCTCCTCCAAGCATTCTGGTCTGCTTGTGCACGGATGCTGTCCGTCAGCTACAAAAGAATGGACAGACTGGGATTAGAGGGAATGATAGATAGTTCCCATTTATCATACAGGGAACAGAAGCGGGGAATAGTTCCTTGTGTCCTCCCAGCGGGGCTACGCTGGTGCTAGGAGAGCAGTATGTTCAGGGCACCTTCCACAGAGAGGGGAAGGACAGAAGAAAGTTATTTACATTCCACGGGGTTCGCAAGTTTCCAGCAGGTAGAAGAACAACCCAGAGAATATTTCCAGTGCTTCTGTCAGGATTACTCACTGCTAATCAAATGTCGTCGAATGATTCATGAATGCACTCTTATTTTTTGAAGGGGGGCAGTGGTGACAAACCAAAAGAATTTCCATTTTAGAAAGCGAATCGTATCTTTTGCATTGGCCTCTTTAAAGACATGAATTAATAAACAGACGATTTAGCAGGTGCCCTGCTGAGGCTGCTGCCAGTGCAAGGCTTTCAGCATGCACAGAATGCCCGTTGCCACATCACAGCCCCGTCGGTGCACCTGCCTGTTGGCCCCACCACTCCAACCCACCAAGGGTCCTGTGGCCAGAAGACGTGGCCGCGAGAGGAAGTGATTGGGAAAGCTCATCCCGGGTCTCAGTTGGCACAGTAGGTGATCAGCTGCTGGGGCTCCCCAGGGTGGGGAGGGGCAGGGGGCACAATTTCCACTCTGAACTGGGAGCGTCGTTCTGGCCTTAATGGGCAAAACTAGGAAGCTGACCGATTGCAATTTCTCTTTTTGCAAATGAACCATCAAGCAGCTTGAATATAGGGATGGGACAGAACTAAATGAAATTCTTCTTCCAAACAGAACGACACTGATCTAGGCCTTCCTTAGGCTGGGAGGCGGACCAGGCAATTTTTACACGTGTCAAATGCAGTGCTCGTGTTCATTAACAAAGCCAAACAAAGTGAAGGGGTAGCCCAAAGCATCCGGCCTCTATTCGCACAAATGCTCCAGGCTCTATGTGGCTATTTCTGCCGGCATGACCCAAGCATTCCTGCCAAAAGTCAGCACTTTAGGATCCACGTTCTTTCGTGCTCTGTGCACAATTATCTTGGTGTCTACTCAGAAATAAGTCTTGCTGGATGTAATGGCTGTTATGCTTAAGAAAGTAGTTTTAGAATTACATTCAGGATACAGTTAATTCTTCTAGTGAAAGCAATGGGATTGAGAAATGCTTAACATCAGCTGGATAGATAATTCAGAAGTGTAACACCATCTTTAATGGGTTTTATGTGCCATTCTTGTTGGTTGTGGCCCCTCTGCTTTGGTATCTTGGTGCATGCGTGGAAACTCAAGTGAATTTGTAAGATTGGTTCCCAAATGGCAATTAGCCTAGATGGCTTTTAAAAGACTGGACAAATTAGTGAAGGATAGGCCCAGGGGTGGTGTCAAGGGAAGGCATTCCTACTTCTCATTATTTCAGCCTGCTTGTTTATCCCCCTCTCATGCTGGCCCAGGCAACGGTGTGATGGGAGGGAGAAGCAGAAGATGCCGTGATCCTTCCTCCCTGGCTCCCTGCCTGCCATGCAGGATGAACGGAAAGACGAGGAGCCCTCGGGGACAATTGTGGCCTGAAGTGCCCCATCGTGGCTCATCTCAGAAGCTAAGTGGGGTCAGGCCTGGCTACGGTTTGGATGGGAGACTTGAGTCCTGCATTGGACGGGGTTGGACCCAATGGTCTTCTAGGCCCCTTCCAGCACCATGATTCCGAAGGTAGATTCAGTGCTGGGATGGGGCCACAGGATGCGCTCTGGACCCAGCATTTGATGAAGCTACCAAGCGCTACGGGTCACAATGGCTGTGCAGGGTCTCTGGGTTCAGGGACAGCATACCATGGTATGCCAGCTGCCAGGGAGCCACGAACTGGGGGAAGACCTTTGCCTCCAGGCCCTGCTGCTGTGGACCTTCATGGAGGCATCTAGTTGGGCCTTTTGGGAGACAAGCCAGCTCCTCGAGACAGGCGTTTGCTGCGCTTCAGCGGAGCTCTTCTGGTGTCCCTAAACTAGAGGTGTGAAAGTGAGTGTACTAAGAAGCACGGAGCACAAGCTTGTGAGAGTTTTTTCATGCAAGTCCTTGGAATTTCCAGGGGACCGTGTCCACTTGGCTGGATGGCAAAAGCTGGTCCTTCTGTGATTCTGCAGCACGTTAGGCAAGGCTTTGGAACCCTGTTCTGAAAGTCATGAGCAGTGATACTGAAAGACGAAACTGTGACGAGTTTCCTCATGTGCATCTCCGTTTAGGCAAAGCCACCTGAGGAAAAATTGCTTGTGTTATCTCTGCAAACAGGACTTAGAGTTCACTGAGGTTACACAGGGCAGGTGTTTGACCGGCAATGAAGTCAGCAGGGTTTCACTAGAGTTCTTTGGGGAGTGTGTGAACCTTCATGGAGTAGCAATACTTCATGGAGTAGTAACAATACTACTCTGCTGTGAGCTCATCAAGAGAGACGGTATTGAGTTATGACATTCCCAGATCCGGGCATAAATTCCATGCATGGGTGGGATCGCAGCAAGAGCAGCATCTGATGCCTGGGGTGGAGCCACCCCTTCTGGATCCCACTGTTCCTTGGTGCGCTCCCACCAAGCCAAAAAGCAGCTCAAGCCAGGATCCCACCTCCAAGGCCCAGAATTGCTCCACTCCTGGGAGTTCGTCATATGACCCTCGAGAACCTCCTCCATGCTAGGCAGCTCCAGCGTCCCCAAGAGCAGGTAAGTCTCAGCCATCTCCCAAAGTTGTTGAGAGGATAACCTGGAGGGGAGAGAACTGTGCAACCCCCACTTGCTTTAAACAGTTTGAATTATTGGTTCCGGGTCAGGCTGCCTAGCCATCTAGCAGAGGCCTTTCCCTGGTGGATGCTGGGTGCTGCAGCTGGGATGCTCTGCATGTGAAGCACATGGTCTGGTCTCAAAGCTGCTGCACTTCCTTGTGAATGCCGTTGCGGTTTTCCTCTCTAGTGTCCAGGCTTCAGCAGCATCGCTCACTGTCGGGGCCTAAAGTTTCCAGCCCTCAGAGCTGGGCACCAGAAAGACTGGTCTGCACAGTTTCTCATTGGCAGTAGAGACTCCCCTCCTCTGTCATGCACCAGAAGAAGCTTGTGTTTGAACATTTCTCTTGTCATGTTAGCCAAGTGGAGAATTCTCTTGTGCTCTAACCAGCTCCACGTTTGCCCAAAAGCTTTTGCTTGTAGAACAAACACTCCAAGCAAGGTGTTTACTTAGCATCTTTGCTCTGGGTTAAATGTTGATGGAAACATCTGGCCATCAATGTGGGGGGGGGGGGGGGGGAGAGAGAGAGACTGGGAGAGCAAGACAGAGCAGTCCAATTTGGATCTTTTCCTCCTCTGCTGTAATTGGCAGCTTTGCTCCAAAAAAGTAAAGAAACCCTGGGAAAAGCGAAAT